TACGAGCTCCGTTTTTGACGTTCTTTATATCCACGCGTAGTTGAGACTGTACTCTACAACTCTTATTTCGACTCCGTTGGCTAATTTTGACTTTATTTTTAAAGTTATATTTTTAACAGGCCGGGACCGGAAAAGTCCGTTAAAAATTAATAACTTCTTCATACAACATTCGTTTTTGTCTGTCTTTTTACCGTTGAACTACTATCGATGAGATCTTCGATTCTCATTTAGGTTATGTCGGCTAAAAATCGCTCGATCTATAATTCGAATTCCGAGCTGCACACTGCTATGCCAAATCTTAGAAAATTCATAACTTCCTCATACAAAGTCGGATTTGGACGTTCTTTTTATGCACGCTCTCGGTTTAACATATACTATGACTTTCATTTAGATCGCTAAGGCTAAAAAGCACTTTATCGTAAACTTACTTTTTATGTCACGCAATGTTGTGCCGGTTCTGTCGCGAAATTTCGACAGGTCATAAGTTCTTCGTTATAACTCGGATTTCGGTCTTCTTTATATCTCCGAAATCCTTGTCATGGCCACTATAACTTTCTTCATAGATATCGGGCTTATCTAACGTTTTATTTTGACGCTTATTTTTATTATATCTTTACAACAAGTATATAATCACATAAAATCACATAATTCACATAATATTCCAGTAATTCATCTTTATTACTTCGAAATATGTTACATTTGTTGACCCTATCTATTACATCATCGCATCAATGCTTAGCCTCGAAACACGGGCGTTACATATATATATATATATATATATATATATATATATATATATATATATATATATATATATATATATATATATGTCTTGGGCCACTGAAACAAGGTTTTGCAGCAGGGAAAAGGGACTTTCTTGGACTGGATGGTGCATTCATGAAGGGTCCCTACCCTGGTATGATTCTAAAAGCAGTGGTAAGTAATAGTATACACGGTTTAACTACTTAATCTTACATATGACTTGTAGATGTTAACCTAATTTGTTCTTACTGTTATAGGGATTAGATGGAAACAAATGCACTTACCCAGTAGCATATGGTGTTGTAGAGTCTGAGAACTACAACTCATGGACATGGTTTCTAAAAAATCTTGGTGATGATTTGGATTTGACTACCAATTCGAACTTCACATTTATAAATGATAGGCAGAAGGTAATAGTATACATTGTTTAACTACTTAACCTTTATATTATTTGTACTAATTATATAAATTTTTTCTATGTTTTTGTTGTATGGTGTTTTTCCTACAATTGCAAAATTGTTTCCATGTGCAGAAAATAGATTTTGCCTTCGTCATACCCATGAGAATATGAAGTGGAAGTGGAGGGGCAAGGAGTTTAAAGATTGTCTTTGGAAATGTGCAACAACATCAACTGTACAACAATTCAATCTTACAATTGATGAACTGAAGAAATTGAACAATGATGCATATGAATGGCTTAAAGCCATTCCACACCAACATTGGTCTAAGTCTCACTTCACAGTTAAGTTATACATGTTATCATTCTTCAACATTGTTGATTGTATGCATCTTAAAAGATTACTGAAAATTGTGATGCAACATTGTTATTCTACAGGAAGAGCACATTGTGATGCATTGTTAAACAACCTTTGTGAGACATTGAATAGAAAACTTGTCAAGGGTCGTGACAAACCAATTTTTTCTTGGAATTTATTAGAGAGTACATAATGAAGAAGTTTGTTATTGTCCAAAAGACAATTGACAAATGATTTGGCCCACTAACTCCTACAGCTACCAAGACTCTAGAGAATATCAAAGTTAAAGTTGCAGAGTATAGGGTTGTGTTTTGTGGAAATAGGAAGTATCAGGTTATAGGTGGTGAAGGTGTGGACCAATGTGTAGTCGACATAGCACAACATGCATGCTCATGTAACAAGTGGGAGGTCACTGGCATGCCATGCAAGCACACAATTGCAGCTACATGGGATATGAGGAGAAATAATGAGAATGTTGGGATACCTGAAACATGGGTTCACCCAACATACTGGTTGAAGACATGACCAGAGATTTATGCCTTTAAAATTGAACCAATTAATGGGAGGATGATGTGGGCAAAAAAGTCCTTGTCCAACAAAGTTACTACCACTAAAACATCATGTGCCTATTGGTAGGCCAAAAAAGAAAAGAATAAGATTTGTTACTGAAGATGATAGTGCTAGAGGGACCAGAACAGTTAGATGTTCAAAGTGTGGAAATATTGGGCATAATGGTAGGAGATGTAAGGGGCAGATAGTGGGAGGATCACAAGCCAGTGGTAGTGATGTGGGACAGAATGCTAGTGTGGGACAGAACTCAGGTGCTGTGAACAAGGGGAAAAGTCTGATGGTTTAGTGTTTGTGTATTACTTTCATGTCTTTTGGTTAGCTAATGCTTTTGATGTACTTGAAACAATGTTCTTTCATGTCTTTTGGGTCTGTAATTTCGGTTTGAACTAATGTTGTGCTACTTCTTTAACTATGACGGTGATGTACTTCAAACTATGTTGACTGGATGAATGTTTGTAATGGTTTGAATGACTTAATGATTAATTAGGTTGTTAATGTAGGAATGCATGTTTGTAATGGTTTGATGACTTAATGGTATGATATAAATTGTTGTTTTGGTATAAATACATGTTTGGCAATTACCAAAAAAAACACCCCATTTTCATTAACTTGCAAACTGATACATCCAACTTCAGTTTGTACAACTAAAAGGTAAACGTATTTGATAACTTATCCTACACTTTGTACACTAGAATTGACACAAACAAAAACCAACTAATAGCTAGATACAACTTCAGTTTCAGATTTTGTTATTCAAGCTTCATCCTAATGTTCATACAAGCACATTTGTGATCCTCCACCACCCAACCAATGAACTTGCAACCACGATCCTGCAAAGTAAGTGTAGAAACATTTCACAATGCTAAAATTTACAGAAAAATAGAAGAAATTAGGAGATTAGGTTAGATTTATCAAGAAATCAAAATTAATCGGGTAGAACAAGCATAGTAACGTTTTCCAGGGTTGTTCTTGCTCCATGAGGTACGAATCACAACTTCAGCTCCACAATTGCATCTAATTGCCATTTTTGTTGGTTGGAGAAGGCTAATCGAAGAACGAAAGGGGGAAGAAGACCGACGAAGATAAATGAAAGCGGGGGAGGGGCAACGGCTCTAATAGGGGCACACGACATGAAATGACGAAAATACCCCTGCGTGCAAGGCACGTGGGGCATCCAAACAGAGAAAACTAACGTCTAACGACAATAGGGACTGGGCAGGTAGTATTTAAATACATGAGGGATGGTCCGAGTTAATTTTCAAAAATATGGACTGAACGTGCAATTTGGCACTTGGACCGGGGAAGATTCGTGTAATTTACTCTAAGTATTATCTATTATAAATGTTTCATTATCATTGAATTTCTTTTTGTGGATTTAACCACAACAACCGTTTAGTTGTTTGACCAAGCTCAGACACCATTAGAAGATTGTGAATCATGACCACATTCGGATGCCATTACTTGCAAAATATTAGTGAATGTTTTTAAGTTTTGAGATACTAGAAAGCGTTTTTGTGTGGTGTGATTAAACTAACACATCCAATAGTTATATAATTATATATGCAGGACAAATGAATGACAAAATATTGTGATTTATTATATTTAACCTTTACATATGTATATAGTTTATGCTCTTTATGGTTGAAATGTTTGATATGACAATGTTAATGGCATTAGTTTTAAACTTTTTACTAAACTAATGTAGTATGAAAGAAAATAATGTGATATAACTCCATCTTTTGTCTTTGTAATTAATAAAAACAAATCACAATCATTTAAAAATAAAATTTTTAGGGTTTATTATGAATCCTTTCAAATATATTAAGGTGTTACAAATGTTGTTTTTACGAAACCTTTAGATATTTTATATTATATATATATATATATATATATATATATATATATATATATAAAGTTGTTACATTCCAAAAAACTACATGGATAAAATCGTTTTAAAACAAACATATGAAAGCGATTATGAAACGTATATAAGGCCATCAGGAGTCCGAAGAGTGCTTAACGGGTCAAAAAGCACGTCCATCTCATCACAACCAAACTCCATCAACACCTCACAATGGTCTACACACACACATACACACACACACACACACACACACACACAGAGAGAGAGAGAGAGAGAGAGAGAGTATTATTTTCTCTCCTTTGTGATTGTCCGTAAGTTGTAACCCGACTTACTCTCTGCCACGATTACAGGAGCTTGGAGTGGTGTTTACGCATAGAGTACTCCTCCACATCAACCTCATGCGACGAGTGTAAGACCCGTATGGGTGCCCTAAGATAAGGTCTATAGTTTCAAAAAACAAAAACTACTTTAGTTTAGTTGATTGTATTTTAATTCATCCTAAGACTCCAAAATGCTTAACTATTGCTAATACGCACTTCAATTCAATCCGAACACCCTACATTAGACCGGAGGGTGTGGGAAGGAACCTTCCCTCACTTTTTGTGGGCCATACCTCCTTTTCCCTCATTTTTCTTTCCTCACCTAAAAGCCAAGGAATGGGTGGGAAGCCCTTCCCTCACTTTTTTTTTAAATATATTTCATACATATATTATACTCATTTTGTAGGGAATTAAAAACCACGAATTTTGATATATTTTTTATATTTTTATAATAGGTATATAATTTTATAAATATTAAAAAAGATAAAAACAAAAAACAAAACTGTCCAATAACATGAAGAGAGAGAGTGCGGCACCCCTCCCCCACCTCTTTCCCGCGGGTTCTTTGCGTCACCCAAGGAGTGGTGTTAAGGAAGCTTCCTCACCCCTTTCCTCACCCCTTTCCCGCTCCCAGACCGGCCTTAGAACTGCATTCGTTAACAATTTTCTCATGCATGACCGGATCTATTGCTTGTTTTATCTGTATCCATTATCCGAGTGAATGTACATATGTTCCGGCGACCGCCCATCGGGAAACACCGACTTCGATCGTCACGGTCCGCCATCAGATGTGTTCATATACAAAGTCCACTCCCTCCACACTTATCTAAGTTATCGCTGCTCGCAGACAAATGCACTTCGATGCGACAGCTCCAACAAATCCACGCTCAAATGATCGTCTCTGCCACCATAAACGACAACTTCGCCGCTAGCCGTTTACTATCCTTCTCCGCTCTTTCCCTTCATGGCGACCTAATTTATGCTTCCAAACTACTAAATAGTGTACAACAACCAAACATGTTTATGTGGAACACCCTCATTAGAGGCCTAGCGATCAGCCCTGATCCAAGTGAAGCATTGTTCCTGTATATAAAGATGCGTCGAATCGGCGTTACCCCTGGTAAACACACATTCCCTTTTCTTCTCAAGGCGTGTTCTAACTTACAATCGCTTACATCCTGCAAACAAGTACATACCCAAGTGGTAAAAGTCGGCTTAGACCTGGATTTGCATGTTGTGAATAGTTTGATCAGAGGCTACTCTGTCTCTTGCAGCTTGGAAGACGCCCGCCAAGTGTTCGACGAATTTCCTGACAAAAACGTCAACATTTGGACCACAATTGTATGTGGCTCCGCTCAAAATAATTGCCCAGAAGACGCATTGGCGTTGTTCGATGAAATGGTAGCTCAAAAATTCGAACCAAATGGTCCAAGCCTTTCATCTGTACTATCAGTTTGTGCACAATCGGGGTGTATAGACATTGGAGAGAAGATCCATAGATACATACAGGAGAAAGGACTCGAAACTGGAGTTATTCTTGATACTGCTTTGGTGAACATGTACGCCAAGAATGGAGCACTCGTCATGGCTAGAAATTGCTTCAATAATATGCCTCACAAAAACATTGTAACCTGGAATGCGATGATTTCAGGGTTAGCAATTCATGGCCATGCCAAAGAAGCCCTCGATTACTTTCACGAGTTAGAGAGACATCGGGTGGTTCCAAATGATCGGACGTTTGTTGGGGTTTTATCTGCTTGCTGCCATGCCGGAATGCTTGATTTTGGATGGAAAATATTCAAATCGATGAGGAGTGTTTATGGAATCGAGCCCAAGATACAACACTATGGATGCATGGTTGATCTTCTAGGTCGAGGTGGGAGGGTAGTGGAGGCGGAGGAGTTGATAAAGGGGATGCCATGGAAAGCTGATTTGAAGATTTTGGGAGCCTTGTTGAGTGCTTGTGGTAGCCATGGAAATCTTGAGGTTGCAGAAAGAGTGGTGAAGAAGATGATTGTATTGGAGCCGGATAATCATGGAGTTTATGTTGTTTTGTCAAATATGTATGCAGATGTTGGACGTTGGGAAGATGTTTTGAGGGTGAGGGGGATTATTAAAGATGGGAGTTTAACGAAAACACCCGGTTGGAGCATTGTCGGTGGTGAATAATTTGATCATATGTTTGAGTTGAGAACTTGAAATAAAAAATATAATTTAAATGAATTGAAAGTGACATATCTATGATTGGTTGAGGTAAAGGCGTAAAACTCTTGTTAAACATTTTTCTTAGTTTGATGTGAAGTTGATGGCAAAAAATACAAAATGTATTTTGATACGTAATTTTACAAGTGTAGTCTACTAATAATTATTCAAATTAGCCAATCCGGTAAGTAGAAAAGTAAGGTGACCATAAATTTGTAACTATTTTTTTTTTTTGGGTTAGGGATAGAGTCATGCTAGGGGGCAGCGGATTAGGGACGTTACCGGAGGTACCACCACTCCGAGCAAGACAGGTTCACCAGCCTCAACTCTTGAGAAGACCGAGACTGGTTATGAGTAAGAGAGTCGGAGGTACGTGCCTGAAAAACAACACAACCAGAAGTTCACCAGGGACGGTCCCGGGAGAACACTCTGATGGTTAAGTCGGTCAATGATCTTAATTCAAATTCGAGTAGTGAATGTAAAGTAATCAAGTCCGCATACCTATACTCTTCATTCTCACGATCTTTTATATGTCTTACATTGAGAATCATCGCCTTACCAGGCCGAGCAGACGAGGTCTAATCGTCATTAATGCAAGAACGGTTGAAGGTATCGAAGATTGTACTTATGTTAAGTCATTAGTCACATCTGATAGATCATAAGTATTGTAGTTAACTTTAATGGTAAGCTACATCTTGTTATTGATTATATCGATGTGCATTTGTCTTGATCCCGTTGCTACTTGATGTACTTTACTTACGGTAGGTTCAACATCTCGTTAAGTTATATATATATATATAAGGGCAATATGGTAAAAGTGAAAGAGATAAACAAGGAAAGTAGATTTCCATAGGAATTTTAGGGATTATTAATAAATAAATAATTATTTTATTTTTTTAATTTAATTGAGATTTTAATGTTTGAATTTTTAAAATGCAAATTTTATCTTGATTTTTATAAAAAAAAAATACAGATTTTACAAAACAATGCATATTCGTGTTAGAATGTCCATAACCTGATGTTACGTGGAATATCATTACGAAATTCTGATATTAAAAAATCAATTAACAAATACGTATTCATACTAGAATGTATGAAATCAATTCAGAATTAATAAATTAACAAATATTTTTGTGTGTGTTCTGTTTGGACAGCACTTGTATTGCCTCTTCCAACTTCTTCTTTATTTTATTTTTTTGCTGAAATCTTGATGAATATTGATTATATGTTGTTGAAATTTTGTTGAATTCTTGTTTCACCTTCTTTTTTTTTCGTTTTTTTTTAGTTTATTCTTGCTAAATGATTTTTTTTTCAATTTTTTATATTAAATAATGATAATTTCTTGCTGAAATATCATTATTTTTTTTGTTGAAATATCATTATTTTTTTGCTGAAATATCATAAATTTTTGCTAAAATGTCATACATTATTAAATTTTCGGTATTAAAAAACTATTTTCATTATATAAAATCAATTTTTTTTTTTTTTTTTAATATGTGCACCAACATGCAGATGTTAAAAAACAATCTTCTTATTACAGTCTGCAGCCGTTTAGTCCACCTTTTCTGCTGCAGAGAATTGCAGAGATGGTCCACAAACTTCATGAATTTTTGCCTCAAAAAAATAAATACCACCTAAGTTCATATTCATACTTGAAGAGAATGCATGTTCATATTTGAATATCCAAAAATAAATTTCAATTAACAAGATGAGTTATACAATTTCCATTATGACTATACAAATATAATATGCAATAAACAATGTATACAACTAACAAAATTACATTACGAATATACATATATGATCAATGTCTTAGACCATCCGGTATGGTGGCCACGAAGTGGGTCGTGGTCTAGGTGGCCACGAACCACGACCGTGCACACCGTCCTGGTGGTTCGTGGTGGGTCGTGGTTGTGGCCCTTCGTGCTCCGGACAACGATTTCAAACGGCCAATCAATTCATTTCTTGCCTTAAATCTCGTTTGACCTCCTTCCTCCTTCCTAACGACTACTTTCAATTTATTTATCTTCCTTCAATATGTACCTATAAATACTACCACTCATCTTCTTAATTTTCATACATTTCTTCTCCCTTTAGTCATCATACATTTTTGTTGTTTGATCCCTTAAAAACCATGCCTCCCAAAAATAAGAAATTGTCAGAAGAGGAAGAAGAGAAATTAACACAAGCATGGGTGACGGTTTTGGAAGAAGGCACTGGTCAAACTTCTGGTTCTTTTTGGAGAAATGTTGAAAGTGTTTTCCATGGTTTAATGGGTTGTGCAATTCGAAATGTTGATGAAATATGCTCGAAGTGGCGTGATATGAGGGCCAAATGTTCTGAGTTCAATGGAATTTACAACTTTGTTATAAACAACGTACACGAAGCCGATATCGATCCGGTTAATGTGGCCATGGAGCAATATGAAAACACAAATCATAAACGTTTTGGACATGTCAAAGCTTGACATAAGTTGAAGAATTCCCCAAAATGGAATAACCTTGCATAAACACACAAATCAGAAGTTTGGTATTTTTAGGTTTTTAATTCTTAATGCTATTTTTTTATTTTATTTTAATTAATGGAATTTTTTTAACGTTATTTTTTAATTAATGTAGTTTTAATTTAATGTAATTTGGTATTTTAAATTAATGAAAAACTAGTATTTAAAAAAAATTATATGATTTTAATATATTTTTTATTTAAATTTAATTTTAAAAAATGAGGTGGAGTTGTATATTTAGTGGTAGGTATCTCATGGTTAGTGGTAGGGAGTGTGGTAATGGTGTGGCACCCACCACTATAGTGATTAGTGGTGGGTATAACGAATGGCCTTATATAATTCATATTAGAATATGGTTGAAACAGATCATGCCACGGGTGGAATAGTGAAGCAGATCATGCCTCACAGAAAAATGATTTCTTCATCACCAATTTGCCTTTTTCACTTGATCATATCATGTAAAGTATTAATCATTTATAATGCTTATAAAGAATCCATTAAAAATAAGATTTTGTAAAAAATTACATGTAAAGTTGATGCTTTCATGTCCCTTTATAAGAGTACCCACCGTCCTCCACAAAAAACTGAGGCATCATCCCCCAAGGCCTCAAGGCGGCACTCATCCATGATGCGGATAGGATGTAAACCTCTCAATATTCCCCATTGAAGCATATACCCATCGGCGCCTGTGCCACGGTTAGGCTAGCACCCCATAGATGGGGTGACCGGTCAGAAAAGATGGTCACCCAAGGGTAGCCATACCCAACCAGGTTACAATTCACCCAAAGCCACTTGTCTTGCCAGTCCATATTGGGCGCTTTCTGGTTAACAATGAACAAATGGATTCCTCGCCTTTGAGAAAAGGTATGGACGCCAGACTAGGTGGAAGAGTTGAAATAGGCTTTGAAGGCCCAAAACTGAGGCATCACTCCAAGGCCTCGACATGCCAGTTCAAAGCCCACAATCTTGTTGACGGCGTTGGGAGTCAAGTCATCCATGGAGAAGCCGTATTGATGCATGATTTCATTAAAAAAACGGTCGTCGGTAGCCTCAGACCTACTTTGAAGATTGAAATGGGGACTTCGACCTTGCCCTCCGGTGGTCAAGAAATGATCGCCCCTTTCTTGGAAAATTGCACCTCGTGTTCAGCATGAAACCAAACCGGGACTGAAGAGCCTCTAATTTATCTGGGGTTGGCTGAGTTCCGGACAGTTGTGTCACCATTTTTCCCTTAGAGCAAGAGCGGGAAAGAAAATAGGGTAAGAAAAGAGAAGACGAAAGCAGTTGAAGAACGTGAAGTGGAAAAAGGAAAACCGTCCATGATAAGGGAAGTTTTAAATGCAAAGCAGGAATATCGAACAGTTACAAAAGGAAACCACACGCGCTGACGGCTCCGTCACATCAGCGGACATCAAGTCTATCTTCATCGAACACGTGTCCTGATCAAGGCTAGAACGACTCAGTTAAGTTAGACCAACGCCGAGTCTACTAACCTAAAGGACTTGTTAACGTATCCCATTAGGAATACGTTAAAGATAACAGAACTGCTATCTTTAGGACGACCTAGCTAACAGTCGCAATCCGTCCTAGCGCCAGACCCGGACCCTCGCCCTTGTGCTAGGACCCTGACACTTGGCGCCCTCGCGCCCATGCCCAATTCCTAACGACAACCTTCGATCCATAACAAGCCAAAACACAACTAGTCGTTTCCCAGAGCGACAATTGTAGTGCCCAGGGCGTTGTCCTCTACTTATTTTGCACCAATAGCATACAACCACTAGTGGTGCACGATCCACCAATTGGACTCTTCCACGTTCTGTCGGCCTAGACAACACAAAGAACATTGTTGGGATCATGTGTAAAGAACAACGTGTATAAAATGAACCATTATTCTCTAGAAGAAGGGATCACATCCTTACTATTCAAAACCCTAATCACCTTATTCTCATACACATACTAGCTATACCGTCGGAGCTTCATCCCGGGACCCCCTCCTGGACGTCAACTAGCGTTATCTCTTCATTGTTGTGATTATAGGATGCTACCTAGCCAGAATCATCAAGTAACGGCATTGAGTCCCAAGCACATATCACAACAGTTATGTAGTCAAAGTTTATTTGTTCCTTTTGCCTTAATAGGAAAAGCGATATCTTTGGGTCCCTCAGTGATTTGGTGTTGACATTATAGTGTTGGGCCCAGCTATGACTAAATTGATATGTTCAATTGGTAGTCTAATGACGTCATCACAAATCAGGAAATCATGAAACAAAATCTTGGACAGTGAGATTGATTATAATCCATGTCTCATGTCCATACAATATCTTAAAGAACGAAGGAATATTTGATTACTTATCTTAGGACCAACGTTTGATTTGAATCAGAGTTCGGTAGTGGAATTGGAAAGCACACTTTGTTGTTTAGTTCAAGGTTATACTTGCAATTGTAGTTATAGATTTATCCAAGAGGGAGACTGTTGGATTAAGATGTCTAAGATCATAACTAAATTGGTATATACTTATAATTAAAAGCAAAGTCCTTTTTAGGTTGCCCTCATAACTAGAACTTGGTTAGAATGACATTTATAGATAGAGAGAGGATGATTTATTAGTTTATTATATGATTAATAAATTGTAATAAATGATTTGTTAGTATATTATATGATCAATATATTAATTTGAAATAGTAATAAGTAATTAAGAATTAATCAAAAATTAATTGGAATTAATTTTGGGATTAATTAGAATTAATTAAGAGTGCAATGACTAAGTTGTATTTGTTCAAAAGTTGAACAATGGAAAGGTTCCAGAACCGTCCCTTATGGCTGGTTTTGGGATGCCTTAATAAGGCATTCTGGAAGCCTCTTGATGATAAGGAAAATAGATAACCACCTAGATTTCAAATATCAATATTATATGTTTAAATTATGGTTTCTAGGGTTTTCCAATCAGCTATAAATAGGACCTGTGGGTCTCCTACTTTCGTCCACTCATTACTCAAGAAGGATAGCCGAAATTTGCACTCTCCTTCCTCTCTCCTCTCTTGTCTTCTAGTTCTACGGTTTGGGTACAATCCATTAGAGGCATCATCATTTTGGTTCTAAGCTTTCCAAGACCAACTACTACAAGGGATTGAAGTGATTTGTTTGCTACAACAAATCAAATGTATGTAACCCTAATTCCATTTTTTCGATTACATTAGGATTCATGTTGGTTTTTTTATTCATTGTATGTTGCATTCAAAGTGTTACGACATAGATCCTTATAGGTTGCATGTTCCCTTTAATTGTTAAATGTTTTTTCGCAAGTACATGTTTGTTATAACCTATAAACCCATCATCTGCGTCTTCAAAATATGGGAAGAGAGTCGTGAAAATTGAACGATCGAGCAACAAGCCACCTACTTTCTTCTCCAAGCAATCATTGAAATATGGATGCCCTATAAAAAAAAGTAACAAGTCCCCTGTCGATGCAGGGGCGGATGACTCCGAAGTTGAGAATAATTTATCGTTGGAGGCAATGATTGAGCGCACGGATGACTTAGTGTATGTCTCCCCTCTCAAGCGTTGAAGGACTCTAAGATCTCCAACGAGCAAAGACACATATACAGAAAATGGCATGGGTGAGCCTCCACTTCCTCCTGTGATTGCTTCAGATGTTGGCGAACATGATTGCCTCGTTCACTCCGATCCGATTTTGACTGATATTGGCGATGCTGCTATCGGATCTGCTTCATCGGTTATTCCCCATGAAGGTTCGGGGGAGGTAGCTCACATCCAGTCCGATGCCGTTGTGGTTTCTACTGTTGTTCCTCCTTCTACTGGTATTCTCAATTTCACTGTCGACACTGTAAAACTCGCTTTTCGTCAAAAGCTATTAGGCTTAGGATTTGGTTATCGGAGGTCCAAACCCGTTTTCGAAAGCGACGTAGATATCCATTCAAACAACATCCATCCAATTAGGTCTTCATCAAGCTTGCACATAGATTAAGGATAAGTATTCCGAGGAACTGTTGGGAAAGGCCTTGTAACACCTGTTCCTCAGGTATATTTCTTTATGTTATTGAAGTTTATTTTTTGGGAATTGTGGTTCTACGCGGGACGTAGATGACCAGTTACGCATGGAGTAAGTCAATAAATCCATGCGAGGGTTTTATGTCCTATGCAGGGCATAACTATAGTTACGCAGGGCGTAAGTGCGCAAGGTTGAAACCCTAATTGTGGAGTTTTGAGCCCTATTTATGGACCTAAACCCTTTAAGGCATTTCTTATGTTCAACCTCCACTCCTATTGACACCCACCTCGAAACCCTAATCCTCTTGAGCAAGTTTTGAGCCTTTTGTGTGTTTTGTGTGTTGGATAAGGTGTCTAAGTCCATAACTATATTTGGTATGTACTTGACCCGATTTAGCATGGTCCATTTGGGTTGCACTTCACCGGAACAATTTGGACTTTGAGAAGAGGATATGTATGATTTATTAATATATTATTAGTTATAATATATTAATATGAAATCATATTGTTTAATTAGTATTGATCAATAATTAATTTGGAATTAATTTTGTGGTCAAAAGAGACTAATTAAATATATAGGGATTGATTGTGTAAATCATTCATTCTTATAATGTGGGCTAGTGATCCATGATTCCTTATGATGGGATTAACCCATGTGGTGACCCATGGGTGCTCCATGGAGGTTAAAACCCATGGATCATGAGGGATGTGGAAAGTCATGAGTTACATGGTGTAACCCTAATGTGCACACTATATAAGAAGCCCTTTGGTTCAAGATAAAGGCACCCTAGTGATTTAACAAGGAGGGGCTGATTTTGTGAGCTAGAGAGTTCTCTTCCAAAGTTTCCAAGTGTTGGTGGTGATTTGTGATTCCACTTGAGGCATTCACATTATTGGTGCTAGGATCTTAAAGCTCCAAGCAATCAACCACAACAAAATGTATGTTTCCTAACTTGTATTATTCACTATGTATCAAAGTTTTATTTGCTAGTTAGGGTAATACCTTGGAAACTTCAAGTTCGCATGTATAATAGTGAAAACATAGATCCAAGGTATTTAGGGTTGCATGAACACCTTAGGAGTGTTAATATGCTCATAACCCTACAGTGGTATCAGAGTCTAGGCTTGCTTTCAATTATACTTGATGCTACTTGCTGTTTTAAGTTGGAAAAATCGAGTTTTTTGCTTCCTAACTGATGAACTCGCCGAGTCCACCGATGGACTCGACGAGTCCATGTACAAATTGAGCTACACGACGAGTTCAGTTCATGGACTCGCCGAGTTGGCTGGGCAGGGTGCAGAAAAACGATTTTTTGGCCTCAAATGGATAGGATCATTATCCCAAACTATTTTGAATCATAAAAAATATGTTTTTTAAGATATGGTAATGATCATGTTAATCCATTTGTAAGGTGATTGTCAAAATTTCATATTTTGTTTTAGTTTATATGATTAGTCTAAATTACATGGAATTTGTCTGATTTGAATTGCCTTGATCATATGAGTTTAATCTAGAACTTGAACATTCTTGTTAGTTAAATGGTTGTTCTTGATGATTTTAATGGACTCCATAACTTGTCCTCAAGTTATGGAATTCCAAAAGTTTTTCCATTTAAATGAATCATTAAAAATCATAGGTTATAGAAAAATGAAGAGTCTCATTTTAAAAGACCATTAAACTCATAAACTCCCCTCAAGTTTTGGAATTTTAAAGTTTAAAACTTTAATTCCAAACCCTAGAATTTTAAAAGTTTAAATTCACCCTTACACTATTATAATATTATAAGTTTATATATATATATATATATATATATATATATATATATATATATATATATATATATGTATGTATGTATAAGAACAAGTCAGTCTTACCGTTAGTAGGCCTCATTCACGAAGCCGGTCAATAAGGGGGTATAAGGTCGTTGCCTATAAAATGACAGCTTAATGGGTGTCTACTCTCACCCACCGCTTCCTTGACTGGTGGAGGGTCGTTAGCCGAACGGGTAGGACAAAGACTATAATTCTCATTAAAAGTATAATGATAAGTATAAAGTAACTAAATGTTTTTTTAAATCTCAATCTTAGTTACTTTAGGAAAATGTGAAAATGATGCTAACCCATAAAATTACACTTTGCACCTTACCAAGTCGTTAGTGGAGCGTGTGTGGTTAACCAGCACACTAACATGGACTAGTAAGGGTGGCAACGGGTGGCTTAATGTTTGTCATAGATCGATGGAGCGTGTGTGGTTAATCGGCACATCGATTAGGTGATAAATGACATTAAGAGTACCAAGTATATTTGTATGGTTATTCACACCTTGTTTGTGATCCTCGGTATCCCAGTTCAAATTTGAAGGGAATAATCGAGATTTAAACATGCCATTGAAGAGTTCAATGAATCTAAAAAGAATCTAGGAATTTCAATTCATCTAAAACCTAATAATTCAATTTCGTTTTTCATGGTGGAAATTGGTAAATCGTCATTTACCTACCTTCAAATATTTTGCAGCTTGGATTACGACATCCCTCTTCCAAACTGTAAAATATTGTGTTGGGTCCTAGCCTTAATATTTCTTTTTGGGTGTTATATTAAGGACTCTATATCTAATCTAAGCTTTGCCTTTCTTTCTTTTCACATGTCTTCCAACAATGTTGTTTCTGGCTCAAACCCTACCGGCTCCTTCTCTCTCATGAACCTTTGTGGGAGAGTCATCTTTGATGGGACTAATTTCAATAATCGGATTAGGAACATCAGGATGGTCACTCGCTACGAGGACAAGGAATATGTCCTTGACAAGGAGCTTAAGGATATCAATGAGTCTGCTGCTACTCCTCAGGAGATTGCTGATTTTAGGGCACATGGGAAAGATGCCACCAAGGTAGCTTGTATCATGCTTGCCACCATGTCTACTGAACTCCAAAAGTCCTATGAGGACTTCTACCCTTTTGAGATGCACCAGGACCTGATGGAAAGATACCATCAGAGTGCTCGTCAAGGGCGGTATGAAATCATCTGCTCCATGATTACAACAAAGATGAAGGATGGTGAACCCATCACGGGCCACTTGCAGAAAATGAAAAGGTTTGTGGACCGTCTGCTCAAACTGAATGTGAACTTTGATGAGGAACTGGCTATAGATATTATCCTACACTCCCTACCTCCATGTTATGATCAGTTTCGCATGACATATCATATGAACAAGGAGGAAGTCACTTTGAGCAAACTTCAGGGCCTTCTGAGGACTGTCGAAAGTGGTCTCAAAGGTAAAAATGTTGTAACCACTCCTATTGCTAATGCCCCAGTTCTGGCAATCGGGCAAGTCTCTTGATGGATCCTCTTCCAATGGAACCAAAGGAGGTTCTGCTACTCCCTCGGCCAACCCAAAAGAAGCAGAGTGCTTCTATTGTCATGATAAGGGGCACTGGAAGCGAAGCTGCCCCAAGTACTTGCAGGATGTAAAGGATGGGAAGGTTAAACCCACCCATGCAGGTATTTACACCATTCTATCTAAAAACTCATCACATTCTAACTCTTGGGTTCTTGACACATGTTGTGGAATTCACATTTGTTCTGATGTGTAGGGCCTAAAAAGAAGTAAGGATGTGGAGCAGGGAAAGATAAACTTGATCATGGGGAATAGGAAGGTTTCACATGTCACCAAGATTGGAGTTTACTCTTTGTTGCTTAGTAGTGGGCTAGAAATAGATTTGAATAATTGTTGCTACTCGTCTGAAATGGCGAGAAATGTTATTTCTTTTCATGGTTTGTACAAACAAGGTTTCACATTTTCTTTTGATAATGAAATTGGTGCAATAAATGCTTATTATAATGGTGTTTTTTATTTTAAAGCATTACCTTGCAATGGTGTATATGAAATTGTGATGGTTGTAGACAACTTAGGAAATAATGTGATGCATATCGATTCTTCTAATGATTTGGATAAGGCATCCTTGTGGCATTGTCGTCTTGGACATGTCAACAAGAAGCACATAGGCCAACTTCAGAAGGCTGGAGTTTTGGAGTCATTCGACTTAAGGTCGGAAGATACTTGCGAGTCTTGTTTACTTGGAAAAATGACAAAGTCACCCTTCACTGGTTCTTATGAAAGGGGTGAGGGTTTGTTGGATCTCATACACACCGATGTGTGTGGGCCCTTCAGAACCGCCACAAGGGATGCTAACCGCTTCTATGTGACTTTTACTGATGATTACAACAGATATGGCTATATCTACTTAATCAAGCATAAGTCAGAAACCTTTGAAAAATTCAAAGAGTTTAAGCAAGAAGTGGAGAATCAGGCGGGCAGGAAGATAAAGATGCTCCGATCCGATCAAGGTGGTGAGTATCTTAGTATCGAGTTCCTGGACTATCTTAAGGAGTGTGGAATTGTTTCACAATTGACGCCACCTAGGACACCACAACTTAATGGTGTGGCTGAGAGGCGCAATCGAACCTTGTTAGACATGGTTCGTTCCATGATGAGTCGAGCTTCGTTACCAATCTCATTCTGGGGGTATGCCTTGGAGACTGCTGCCCATACCCTTAATAGAGTCCTAACTAAAAGGTTGCCAAAACACCTCACGATATGTGGACAAGGAAGGTTCCCTCTTTAGCACACATCAAGGTTTGGGGTTGCGAGGCTTTCATTAGGCGCGAGACTCACGGCAAGCTTGAACCTCGAAGTGAGCGGTGTCTTTTCATCGGCTACCCGCAAAAGTCCTTTGGTTATCTCTTCTACAGACCGAGTGACAATGTTGTCTTCGTTGCGAGGATAGGGGTTTTCCGAGAGAGGGAACTTATATTCCAAGGGGACAGTGGGAGGCAAATTGACCTTGAAGAACTTCAAGGGTCAAGTGGTGAAGGAACCTCAAACACTAGCGATCAACCTGAGGAGGAAACTCCTGTTGAGCCGATTGACGAATTTGTACCTCTGAGGCGTTCCACAAGAGTTAGGAACTCACCTGAGTTTTA